GGGGGGGGGGGTAGAGCAGCAGGGTCTGGGCTAAACCACAGCCTGTCTGTCGGGAGGGCTGCTTGTTGTGTGGTGCCAGCTCCGAGTTTCAGACTGGTCACTGTCTTGTGTTTCCTGCCCCACCCCCGGGGCTCTGTGATGGTGTCATACCTGCCCTGCTCCCAGCTCAGCCCAGTGCTGCTGCAAAGGCAGCCGTGGTCTCATCTGTGAGATGGTTGGATGCCACTGGAAAAACTTGCTCAGGACCCTGCCTTGTGCTGGTCCTGCTCTGCAGCAGGAGGTAATGGGGTTTCACAGCCTGAAAGGAGCTGTGGGCAGTTGTTAGGACAGCAGGAGGAAGCTTGCAGGGCTTAGTAGTGAACCCAGGGTGAGGTGCCAACAAATCCTGGTCTGTGCTTTGCCCTGGCCTGACAGGGGCAGCTGTGCTTGGTCAGTGAGGTGTCAATCTGGGATTAAACCTGTTTGTTTGGGTGAGCACCTTCTACTCACAGAGAATATCCTGTGCCTCATGCAGGAGGGAATAAAGCTGGTGGAGCTGGATGAGCACAGGACTGATACCTGCTCTTTGCACAGCCAGGTGCTTCCCTGCACCCCTGGGCTGTCAGAGCGACTTGCAGGGCTCATGCACCAGCTGGAGCTTCCATTTGGTGCCCAAATGTTGCTGTACAAGTGACCCTGCAGCAGCAGCATGTACGTGTTCCACCCACATCCCCCTGGGGGTGCACGGCAGCCCCTGCAGCCCCAACCTGTGCAAAGGGGCCCTGTGGTCCCATCAGGTCTTGCTGGCTCCTCACTGCTTCACAGCACCTGCCCTGTGGCATCTGGGGGCACCTTGGGAGCAGGGTGGGTGCTGTGGAGGGGAGAGGGACAGGGTGATATTGGGGGGGCTGAGCCTTCATGTGGGGAACAGGAAGTACCATCTGGGCAGGGGACACTGTGCAGTGCCTGCTGACCACCCTGCTGTAGGGGCCTGCCAGGGGCCAGTGAGGTGCTGGGGGCAGGCCAGCCCCTGGCTGTGTAGCAGGGTGTCTCTGGGCCCTGCGGTGGGTGCTGCAGACAGGAGGGGCTCTACGCCTGGTCAGTCTGGCAGCCCTTTGCTCTAACAGTCTGCTGGCCTTCTGTGCAAGGCCCCAGCTGTGCTGCAGTTCCTGTGGGAAAGGCCTCCTGGTAGGTGACTTCAGCAGCCTGTCTTTCTGGGGCTGGGTTTTCTGAGGGCCCTGGCACAGCAGCTGCATTCCCAGAACTGCTGGTGGTTCCCTGCCTGTGCCACAGGGAAGTCATTCTTGTCACAGCAATGGAGCTGCATGGAGAAGGGAGCAAGAACTTCCCTTATATTGCTTCTGTGATGAGGCAGCTGCTGGGGGGGCTTCTGGCATGTCCTGTCTTTTGTTCTTCCTGGTGCCACTGCAGGGCATCCTCAGCATGGCCCAGCCTCCTGTGCACCCAGTGGCAAAGGGCTTGAGGCAGAAGAACTGAGTGTCAGACCACAGGGAAACCTCTCTGCTTCCCCATCAGACAGTTGAGGTGGTCAATGCTGCCCCCACACTGCACCCCAGTGCCCAGGGCAGAGGGTGGAGGGGTGGGCTGTGTATGCACCAGTGCACTTGGAGGAAGCAGCTCAGCCTGGGGTGAAGGAGTGTGGAGGGTCACAAGGCTCAGCTCTCACCCCACTGCCCTGAGCCCTGAAGCTCAGCTGCAGCAAAGTGAGCAACATGGGGAGCTGGAGTCCCCGAGCCCTCTGTGTCATTTACATACAGCTCAGCAGCACCAGCTCACAGCAAGCCCAGCTTCTTGTAGCACTGCAGACCCCTCTGAAGCAGCCTCCCTTCCTCTGCTTCCTGCCATGGCCCTGGCTTTCATGGTCCTGCTGCTGGCAGGGGTGGTGGGGACAGGTAAGGGTGGTGTGGCTGCACCAGCTGCTGCCTGGGCTGGGCACTGTCACAGCAAGCCCAGCTTCTTGTAGCACTGCAGACCCCTCTGAAGCAGCCTCCCTTCCTCTGCTTCCTGCCATGGCCCTGGCTTTCATGGTCCTGCTGCTGGCAGGGGTGGTGGGGACAGGTAAGGGTGGTGTGGCTGCACCAGCTGCTGCCTGGGCTGGGCACTGGGGGGTTGGTGGGCAGGGCTGGGCTGTACACGGGGGATGCTGCTCTGAGCTGGGCAGCTTGCTCGAGGGCTTGGTGCAGTGAGCAGGGTGGAGGTTGGGTAACGGGGTGGGGGTTGGGTAATGGTCGAGGTGGGGCAGGGGGATAT